ATCTGTACTGAAGTACCTGAGAACTCATCTGCATTTTCTTAAATTAGAGGAGAAAGAAGAGCATGATTTATTTCTAGCTCTGCTTGCAGTCCTGAAAGGGAAGATAACTGTAAGAGAAGTATCATAAGAAGTTGATAGTGTAGGTCCTTTGAATGTTCCTTATTGGGTCTCTGAACTAATGTCCTTTTGAAGGGACATGAAAGTACTGGAAGCAGTGCAGAGGTGATGCTTGCTTTTTGTCTCGTGTTCTGGCAGTCTTTCTACCCAGCAGCACATTTTGCTGTTGAGCATTTAGACCTGCAGGTGGTTCTGGATGAGGAATGCAGAATTTTTCATGCAGAGGAGCCTTAGAAAGACAGAAACATTTTGCCAGACATTCTCTTTCCACAATCAAGGAGATAATCCTAGTGATAGTGAGAAATTAAACACTTCTTCACTGGGAGATAACAGAAAGTCTAGCCAATGCTAGTAAGATTTAATAAATTTTTTTAACATCAGTTTATTATCAGGCTGATGCCAAATAATATGATGATGTTCATTTTGAATATATATCTAATTAAATTACATGAAAGTCGTGTCCCGTCCACCACCCTCCCCCCCCACCTTAATGCTACTAGAACTTTTTTTCCTCGAAAACAGCAACTGAAGCATTAAATCTGCCCCTCTTCTGTTTGTACAACATAGTTCTTTTACTGTTGGAACTGCCCTTTTTATTCACCTAAAACTACTTTGTCTTCAGCTCAGAGCTGGCTGGGCTCTTGAGGGTAATGTGACCTTAGAAGGAGTGTTCAGCATCACATTCAAGAAAAAAGGGGAGCTCTAACTTGTTGAGAGAGCTGCTGATTTATCAAAGGACAACTAAGAATGTGAATTACACAAATTAGTGTGTAATTCTTAAATGTTATTATCACTCAGTGTAATTTGATAATTGTCAGAGACAACAGCTGTAGAGGGAGGAAGACGTTTTCTACCCTCTCTCTTCCTAAAATCTGTAAGAGATTAAGTTGAATATAGCTCAAATAATCTAGACCTTGCAAAGTAAAGCTCCTAGCTTTGAGTAGGATGACTCCCATGTTTTCAAAAAGATGGAAATTCCTTCTATTTTCTAATCGTGTTCTGGTTCTGCCTGTATTTCTGTCCAGTTTCCCCCATATTAGTATAAATCAGAGAGCCTGCAGTTCCCAGTTAACCAGTTCCCTCATTATTATAATGCAGTTTTATACCTGAAGAACTGAAAACATTTTAGCAGCAGGAAGATATTAAGATCTTATATGCATTTCTATCAACAGGAGAACTGAAATGCGTGGAGTAGAGATAATTAAATCAGTTATGTGTATAAAAAGAAAAAAAAATATTAAAATCAATCCAGTCACAGAAGTCATATTTATTTTTGGGCTCGGTTGAATGTATCCATTTATTTCCCAGTCTTGTGAACTTCTAATTTATATATAATAAGCATAGGAGTTTATGAAGCTGTATTATATAGCTAAGGGCAGCTATAATGCATGAAGAGTAAAATGAAGCAGAGAAAAGGGAAAAGGAAAATGACATCCAAAAGCTGCCTTATGCAAAACTGTATAGAGCAGCATAGCAAAAGTAGCCCAGTTCTTTCCACAGAAACAAGTAATTAAAATTTTCTTCTGCTAATATCTGGGCTCAGTGTGGATTTGTGGCATTCTGCTGGCTTTGGTAAAGGCTTTCTGGAGATTTGACAGCAGAAAATGCCACGGTCCAAATTTATATCCTGTGTCCATTTGTAATGTGAACATTTCAACTTCTGTTTTTTTCCATGGGGGTTTAAAGTGGAGTGTGTGAACCAGACATCTGTAATGACACTGTAATCAGGCTATGGGGATTAAGCTTATTAATAATGAAATATTGTCCTGGGCATGCAGTCATGTTCTGATACTACTTTAAAAAATTTAGCAGAAAAAACCTGTAGTCAAAGAGCAGTATTCAACACAGATCCTTAAAAATAAGAAAAAGATAAATTCCATAGAAGGCTGAGATGTGACTTAAAAAACCCTTAGACTTACACAGATCATCCTCACATGTTGCAAGGAGTTAAAGAGCTCTATGAATGTCTGAAGCATCATTAAAATTGTGAGGTCTCCAAGGTAAAATATGGATGTTATGAGATCTAATATTTTTTTCATCTCTGTGTAATAGCACTGATAAATTTTATATCAGCCTGAAAGTGGATGAAGACTTTCAAATTCAAATGTCAGTTTTTCAGCTATCTTGAATGCTGCAGACGGAAGGGAGGTTGTCTCACGATAGTTAGCCTAGAAGAATCGATCCAAATTTCCTGAACAATATGAGCTGCATGCAGTTGCTGTGTATACGTGAGGACTTACATTATGTTCAAGATGAATACTTTAAAAGGTTATGTCACCCCCAGCCCTGTCACCTTTGTCAATTTGCTTCTTAACATGATTACCATCTTGATAATAAAATATATTGTACTAAATTTTAATCAAATGTAATTGTGCAGATTTCAGAAATCTGTACACAGGCTACTGTTGACTATGTTGGACTCCTTCCTTTTCACGTGTGACTATTAACCTGCTGAGTAAAAAAGTAGCCTTATCAAATGAACACGGGGAATGGTAAGACAGAAATTAAGTCAGGCTTTAACCTCGTGGTGGGTTGACCTTGGCTGGACACCATGGGCCCACCAAACTGCTTTTATCACTCACCCTTCCCAACCAGAGAGCTGAGAGAAAATACAACAAAAAGCTCACGGGTTGAGGTAAGGACAGGGAGCTCACTCACCAGTTACCATCACAGACAAAACAGACTTGACTCAGGGAAATTAATTTAATTTATTGCCAGTCAAATCAGTAGGGTAATGAGAAATAAAACCAAATCATAAAATGCCTTCCCCTCACCCCTCCCTTCTTCCTGGGCTCATCTTTACTCCCGAATTCTCTGCCTCCTCCCCTCGTCGGTGCAGGGGGATGGGGAATGGGGGTTGCAGTCAGTTCATCACACCTTGTCTCTGCCGCTCCTTCCTCCTCAGGGGAAGGACTCCTCACACTCTTCCCCTGTTCCAGCGTGGGATCCCTCCCACGGGGTGCAGTCCTTTCAGGCACGGACTGCTGCAGTGTGCGTCCCTCACGGGGTCACAGGTCCTACCAGAAAACCTGCTCCAGTGTGGGCTTCCCACGGGGTCATAGCCTCCTTTGGGCATCCCACTGCTCCGGCGTGGGGTCCTCCATGGGCTGCAGGTGGAGATCTGCTCCACCGTGGACCTCCATGGGCTGCAGGGGGACAGCCTGCCTCACCATGGTCTTCCCCATGGGCTGCAGGGGAATCTCTGCTCCAGTGCCTGGAGCACCTCCTCCCCTCCTTCTTCACTAACCTGGGGGTCTGCAGGGTTGGTTCTTTTGCATATTCTCACTCCTCTCCTCCGGCTGCAGTTGCATAACAAGTTTTTTTTCTCCCCTTCTTAAATCTGTTATCCCAGAAGCACTACCACCATTGCTGATGGGCTCGGCCTTGGCCAGTGGCAGGTCTGTCTTGGAGCTGGCTGGCATTGGCTCTGTCGGACACAGGGGAAACTTCCAGCATCTTCTCACAGAAGCCACCCCTCTAGCCCCGCCCACTACCAAAACCTTTCCACACAAACCCAATACAAACCTCAAGTGTTTCTATAGTTGTGTGTCTTTCACATAGGTTGCGTTCAGCTTCCCAGGGCTCGTAGCTGAGGACTGTTGCATAAAAGTTCGGCTTGTGTCTGTCCCCGTGATTTTATACAAAGGGGTATGTTGTGCAACGTTTAGGGACCATACCTGATATTGCCAAGTCCTAACTGCAGGCTGCCTTAGTGGGTCAGAATAAATGTAAGTTGGGCATGCATATGCCTAGCTAGCGAACATGAACTGTAGACATATCTTGACAACCGCTGAGATGTTTCAAATGGAAGTTGTAGATGCTGACACTCTGTCAGGGATGCTCTCTGCTGGATGACTGTCTGGTTTCATGCTAGATTAAGTGTCCTGAATAGACTTGATGTGCAACGGAGGGGGGAGGGGTGGGTTTCAGTGTAGAGTTTCAAAGGTTTTTGATGACACTGGACAGATTGCATCAAAGAGAGGATCATAAATCAGCCTTCTGCATAGTAGGAAAGCCTTCCGTTTGTCCTCTTGGCCTGTGAATCCCAGAGCTGGTGGGGTCCTAAGGTACACTTCAATAACCAGTTGTGGGCATAATTTCTCTGAAATACAAGCAAGTCTCATTTGCCATACTGACTGGACCCCCTCTCTGGATCTCTCCAGGTCATCTTAAATGTCTCTGTTTTGCTTCAGTCAGTCATAGCCAAGTGTAGTCAGTCACCCGGCTGCACAGCAGGACCTCAGAGGTGGCAGCCTGGCTCTGCTCCCTGCCTGCGCAGCAGAAGGTGGGTTGGAACCCAGCGAGAGCCAGGGTGAAGCCCCGGGGCGGAGGAGCTGTTGATGGAAAACAACCCGAGGTCCTCGGAGCAGAAGAAATGAGACCACTGAGCTCTGGTTCTGTCACGTACCGGTGTCCATAAGTGAGCTGACAAAGCCCCATGGCCAGCAGTGTCAGCCAACTGACTTTGCTGAAAGAGTTGCAAAAGAGAAAGAAAGGATCATTGACGAGATCCAGATTGACAAGGGGGAAGGCAGTGATAGGATATCAGATATGCTTTGTTCTGATTCCTTGTCACTCAGCTCATCTGAAATAGAAAGTTGGAAATAAGGCAATGACTTGGCAATCGTCAGAACAGCAAGTTGCAAACAGGGCCTGCTGAGCCACCTGTGCCAAGACTCAGTGCTTCAGCTATAGTATTCCTATATATGCCTTTTTTTTTTTTTTTTTTTTTATTTTTGGCCATGCAGTAATTCTTACGTCTTATATATGTATTTTCATGGATTGTATCAGTGAGGTATACATTCATTCTGCTGGGTAAAAATAACATGTAATATAAAATGTGCATTTTAACAAGTAACATTCTTTCTGCATTCTTTATGCAGGTACAGAAGGCTTGGGATTTAGTATTACGTCAAGAGATGTCCCAATTGGTGGCTCAGCTCCAATTTATGTGAAAAACATCCTTCCAAGAGGTGCGGCTATTCAAGATGGGAGACTAAAAGCTGGAGACCGATTAATTGAGGTGATGATGTGTTACGTGTTGTTTGTCTGTTTTGGCGTGAGCCTGCACACTAGTTAACTTCCAAAGGCTCTTGGTAGTTTATGTTATAGGAAAAGGTTTCATGCTTCTTTTTTTCCTTTTTTTTGGCTTTGGGGTTTTTTTGCCTTTGTTTTTTTAGGTAACAGATCAAGGGCTGTGCATTTTCAGCACTTAAGTGTTTTAAGAGCTGGACCCGGACATACTATGAAGACATGAGTTTACATGTCCTTATGTGAATATAGTGTCACTGCTGTTTAGGAATAAGTTGAAGCAAAGTGATTGTTACCTAATAAGTGGCATTAAATCAGCATGGAGTGACAGACCAGAAATTAATGAAGATGTTGGCAAATATGGAAGACAATACCCTGAAAAGGTTTAGTGAGTTAACTGAAAGGGGCAATATAAGAGGAGGGTAGTGCTACAGAGAATCAAGGCCACTTCTCTCCTGAGGGAGGATGTCCTCAAGGGAAATAAATTTCTCTTAGATAGGCGCACAGCAGAGATCTTCCTGCAAATCTAGCTGGAGTGATACAAGATGTTACCACCCACAGCTCTTCATTACCATCCTTCAGCCAAATGACACTGGAGGTACAGCTGAGACTGTAACTGCCTCTCAGATCCCTAACTTCACTTCACTGCAAAACTGGCAAAGTCAGCTTGAATTGCTGCTGGAGGATAGCCCTCTGTAATTACTGTAATTCAAGGTAACCCAGATATCTTGAGTAGAAGGGGACTGAGAAGCATTTAAGACAACGGTTATGGCTTCTCAACTGTGTGAGCTGTGATCATATGAGGGGAAGGAAAAAGTTGGTTTGCAGGCTTCTTCTGACCACCGTGCTCACTTGCTTAACACCGTTAGCTGATTTGCCTTACATTTCCAAAATATTTCTGAACAGGCAAGCCTGAGAATACCCTATCTTTCTCTGGTTTCTCCCTTACTCAAGTTTGCTCATGGAGTGGGAAATTTACCTGTATGTATTCCATACCTCTCTGTACTGGTACGTGGTGTATGGAGGCCAAGGGGTTGAACAGCTGAACAAAGGCAAAATAAAGAGCAACTGCTCCAAAGTTATTTTTGGGGAAAAAAAAAAAAATCTACTTTTGACACAATTTGTGCAAGATATATTTGGAAGATAATGTATAACACTAAGGGATGTGGAAACAGGACCAGTTTTGGATCACACATCTATTTTGCCAAAGGATTTTTATGCAGAAATTCTTGTAAAAAATATTCATAGATGGAATTAGTTGGCTTTAGAATATACTGGAGTATACAGTTGCTGCTAAAGAGGAAGGAAATATAGTTGTCTTGCTTCTTATTTGTATTCGTATGTAAAGAATGCATGTTCAATTAGTTCTATTAAATGGAAACTATACTGAGCCAATAAGCAGATTGCTTCAGTGAGGTTTTCTTAATACTGTCCCATATGATTCATGTGACTTTTTGGTATGAATTTCTACTGTTTTCCTGTTTTGGAGTCTTATCACTTTCTAATATTTCCTTTGGCACAGGTAAATGGAGTTGATTTAACAGGCAAAACTCAAGAAGAAGTTGTGTCCTTGCTGCGAAGCACCAAGATGGGAGGGACTGTTGGCCTTCTGATTTTTCGACAGGAAGAAACATTCCATCCAAGGGAACTGGTGCGTAAAATAGAAAGCAGCTAAGAGATTTAGATGAGTATGAGCAAATGATTTGATCTTGTCACCTGCTAGTAAACATGCATGGCCAGCACTGAATATAAGAAAAAAAACCCAAAAAACCCACAGCTATTTTGCTTTATTTAGAACATTTTACATGAATGTTTTTTATTCTCTTTGAGATCTGCTATTGGAATTAAATATTTGTTAATAATGTACAAGTGAGAGCTTTATTTTGAGTGAAAATGTTTATTATAGAAGAAGCTATTGGATGGACTTTATTTGGATGCATGCAGAGAAGTAGATTACATCATATCTCTCATGTGGACAAATCTATGTTTGAAAGCCTGCCATTTGTCCTACTACCTGCTCACTAAAATATTTCAGAGCATATCATACTATGCCAAAACAGAATATGTAAATATCTATCAAAAAGTGGAATATATAAGAAATAGTAGCCTTTTTTGAATATAAATGCAATCTCTGTGGAATGGAAACCCTGCAGTTATTAATTTAGCAGGGTAATTCAGAAAATGTTTCTGAGGAATTTACATGAAATGGAAATAAAATACTGTTTCATACTGTACCTGCTCCACTTGCATAGTGTATAGAGGTATTTGTCTGATAATTATTCAAGATAATTTTTGTTATGAAAAGGTAGACTGTGAATGTAGCAGTCTTACTTTGTTCTGTATTCAATTAAACTGCTGAAGTTATTTATTATTTGTATTATTGTAGCTATATATAGCTATAAAAATAACTTATTTGGCTGCATTGTCATGACAAGATAGACAAACATAAGCAACAAATATAAGCATGATGAATAGATTGCTTCATTTTTCTATTGGATTTGTGTTATTTTGAATGCAAAGAGAATGAATTTTTGTTTGGCTATTTCAAGACGTTGAACACTAGCCTTTTACCTTTCAAAACTACAATTAAACCTAGGAAGCCAAAGTGGCAGGGAAGGTTGCAAACGAACCACACTTTTACGTTAATATTCTTGGAACATGACTTAAGGTACTGAAGTGAAAGTTGCCATAAAATGAAGAGAAATTAACAATTTCTAATGGTATTATGCCCTATCTTATTACTGGAACTGTGAAAGCAATCTGTTTATAAGTTCCTATGATGTAATTTTCACAGTATTGCTATCTTACATAAAGGTGAATGAAAATGCTTTTAAAGTTTTCTAAATAAACTTAGAAGTAAGAAAATGTCTTAATTTTGTGTATATTATTTCTATAGTAAAATGAGGAAGTTATAATGCATAATTTAACACAATATTTTGTTTAAATAATTGTAAACAAAGATACGGTGTCAGTAATGCAGAGATTTAGTAGTAATACTTGATGTAGTTTTAAAAATAAGAGCAAATCAGCCCCTTTAAATGAGTTCAACCTCAGTAGCCTCCCTGCTGCTGCTGAGGCAATACTCTCTCAGCTATTTTGGCAAACACCAGCATAGGGAAGCTAGATCTCATCGTGGCAGTGTCAGGTAGTAGGTGGGCTCTGCGCTATGTGGTCAGACATCAGATCTGAACTGGTGTACTTTTCTGTAGCTCCAGTTGAACAAATGATACTGTGAGGATCTGACAGTACATGTGTGTGGTGATCCTCTGTTGCGTAAGGATTTGTTTGCTTGCATTTTGACATGAAGGAATGTTAGGTGAGCTCTGCTGACAGCTGTCAAAGAGCAGGAGCAGAATTGCTGGGGAAGGTGTTGAACTAAAACCCATCATAAGGGCTGTTCTTTCTTCTCTGGTAAGAAATAATCTTAAAAGAAAAAAAAAAAAAGTCTTTTCAACCAGTTCCTCTCACTGTCTTTTACTAGCTTTATGTAAAAAAAAAAAAAAAAAAAAAAAGAAGGGGGGGGGGGAGGGATCTGAAATCATGTCAGTTCATCTTTTTCACATGTAAACCTTCTTTGGCCTCTTAGGAACAATTTGTCTTTGCATCCTTCCCCTATTTCTGTCATATTTTCTACGTTTGTATGCTTTAAATATTAGCTGAATGAGATGGGTCTCAGAAACCATATGCATGAAATCATGTTATTTGATATTATCCATCTCATAAAGGGCAGGACTTGCTGTTGCTTGCTGAGGAGCACTCAGTATTAAACCCGTTTTTTATTTGCCAACATTTGTACTGATAGTAATCCCAATAAAAGAGGTGTTTAGATTTTATGTTTTGGGTTATGGCTTGTTGAATGACTTTGGAAAAGTTACTTATCCTTGGGTTTCTTTATAAGTAAAATGAAGATAATAAACTTTCAGGAGAGTTGTGGAGTTTTATGTCTTTGATGTATGTTGCCGTTATTGTCTGGAAGGGACCTACCAAAATGTGTAGTGGTAATTAAAACTTACGGGTATGTTAAGCTGAGTCCATTTAGATTAGTGTGGGATCTTTGTAGCTTGTGTGTCAGGTTAGGGGGTGTGTGTGATGGAGAGCCATCATCCAGTGCAGCAGATCATGATAAAAGTGAGTAAAATGTGGAAGCAGGGAATAAAATCAAATTGGCAGGAGTTAACTCTTCTAACCAGTGAGATCTGGAAGAAGGATTATTGCTTCCAGAGTTACCCAATGCCAGATAGGTAATATATTAGGGCTTGTCTGCATCAGTGTGAGGCAGATTGTCTCTTAAAAATCTTCCCTCCCTGCCCCCTTCCTTTATGAAAGGGGTGAGGATTACTCTGGTTAAGTAGAGCTCCTGTTATACTGTGGTTACTTCACATAACCAAATATAACTTGCTGCGAAGGTTTTTCTTAGAGCCTGCTACTGACTATGTGAATCCACTGAAGGATTGTCTTGGGTTATTTAGCTTTTGAGCTAAATTCTTGGTGTCAGCAGAGCTGGCTGGCAGAGTTAGTCTCCAGTACCCTACAAGTTAATACATCCATTGGTACATGTAGGTCCTTCACATGTTCCTGGTAGTTGGCTCTTTTATCATTTTGTTCTTATTGCTTGTTGGCTGCAGGTTAAAGCTAACTGGATGTTCGTGTTACTCCATTGCCACTACATTTTTGTGCTTAATCATTTGAATCTCCTGCAAAACAGCCCAAAGCCAAAAAGTCCAGTAAACTCTAGCATTTCATTTTGGCCCAGCTGAATGGAAAGAAATAGCTGGTTAGCCTGAAAGCGATCATCCCGCCAGCAGCAAGGTGGCTCCTGGGTGCTGAAAGGGGTTTCAGTATGGGTGGATGTGGGCTTGGAAGAGTAATAGTTCCTCATGTGTGTTTCCAGAATTGGTTGTGGGGCGCAGAAAGGTTTTCCAATGATGTGTGTTTGCCTTATGTGCCCTGAGACACAGGTGAGGAATGTAAGGTACAGGAGGGTCCCATCTGTGGTGGACTGAAAGCACCCTTCTGTCCTGGAATACCCAGTGCTGTAGTTCTGGTTCATCCAAACACGCTCAAAAGGGAAATCCCTTGTTAAAATGAGAATGGATGTTTTAAAAAATAGGTACTTGTTTAAAGTATTTGGAAGGGTTCATCTGGAATTCTGAGGTTGTTCTTTGAAAAGTTCAAAGCAGAAGGGAAAGGCCAGGGGAGAAAATCCCTGAGTGAGAACGTTCCACCAGCCAGAAAATGGTGCAAGCAGCTGTGATTCTTCCTTGGCCAGATAGCCACCTCCCTCGTAGCCAGATAAAGTGAGGTGCACTGGCCTAAGATTGCTGGAGGTTATTTATATTCACCTCTCATTTAGTGTTTGCTTAGACAAATTTGAATCAGGGGTGTGACGAACACCCTTTATTTTTCAATTACTACTTCACATCAGAATTAGAGCTCTTTGTTTATCCCCCTGCTGATAGATAGTATATGTCGTACGTAGTTGTGTTCTTATTTTTTTTTTTTACTTCCTTTAGAGTGCAGAACAAAGCCAGTCACAAATTCCAAAGGAAACGGTAAGAGCTTTGTCTTTTCCATACTGGAAGACTCCCAAATGTTTTTAAATTGATATGGCACTTTTCCATCAAAGTTTCACAGATCCTCCTTTCACCTTATATACTGTAGATGGCTCTCTCTAGCTTTACATTTTAAATGCATTTTTTAATGTAATTTCAAATACTCTTTGAATATTATATACAATTCAGTTAATATGTGTGTTCAAGTGTTATTTGAAATTACATCTTTTATACACAGCCAAAGGCCTAAAGTTGGAATGATAAGAGTGGGCTGTTAGCTTGGGTTACTTGTTGAAACTAATTGTTTAAATCATGATTATATGACTGAAACCTGAGATACAAACACAGGAATTAGAAAGTTTGGATTTCAGTCTCAATTGTATCCTCATAGCAAACCACTGTTTGTTAGTTATTTTTAAGAAACTATAGGGAAATAGTACCAAGTTTAACCCTTTGAAGCCTGCAAGAGGTTTGTATGTTATGTATCAGTGAGGCTGTATATTGAGATTGTGTATTGTTTATATACATCATTTTAGTCACTGGAACAGGATCAGTCTTAATACACATTATACTAATATATGTAAAAAGTTTTTCTAAACTAAAAGGTTTATTTTATGAAAATTATCAAAGGATATAACAATAATATATTACCTTAAAGGTATACTGTATCTTAGTTAAAAGCATACTTCAGGAAGCTCTGTTCAATTAGGTACCTATTTCAAAATTAAATAATAAATTAGATTATGGAGAAATTAAGAGGATTCATGCTGGGATTTGAAATTAGTGAGGCTCTGAAAAACAGAAAAAGCTTGTCTAGATGATTCAGAATGCCTTACCAGCAATGGTGAGGTGGTGTCTGGGGTAAAAAGAAAGTCAAGACTAGGTAAAAAGATGTAAGAGCCATCTCAGTGAGATAGTCAAGGGTACATTGGTTGATACTATTAATGTTTCAGGCCAATGGAATGTAACTGCTAAAATGGGTGGGTTGAATGTAGCAATATTCACTTTTATCCCTCCAGCTTTTGATGTCCTACTAGTCTGAAAGTCATCTGCATAAGGGCTGTGCAAAATCGTGGGTGTATCATTGTTTCAGACATGCCTCACAGTATCTTTTTAGTACATCTCAGTAGAGTATGTATGTTTTTATCTTCATGGTTTCTTACCACGTACTGCTGATATGTAAGGAGATCAAAGATCAAAGCCCAGGACAGTATTTCTGCCTGTAATTGAATACAATTGAGAGTAAGTAATTCGTGGGTGCAGCCTTATAAAAGTGTCCTGGTTTTAGGAGCTGAAATTCTGCCCCAAAACTTCATTAAGATTAGGCAGATTGCTACAAAGGTGTTTATATAAATCAATTGCTCATCTGTTGCAAAGTTAATGTTTTGTAGCAAATTCCATGGTGAAATCCTTTCTCTGCCATTTTTGGGACCAACAACCTGACTTCATCTAAGGAAAGACCAAAAGAAAATAAGTATCTCATTTTTTCTCCATAGATGTGAGCTAAAAATTGCTTGTTAACCAGGGGATTATGCAAGAGGGACAGGGAGGGTATGAGTAGCTAGGGATTTCTGAAAAAACAGCCAGAAAGCCCTAGCAAGCCTTGGAAATAAAGAATTAAATTGGGAAACATGCGGAGATGTACTTGGTTAGTGGGGGAATGAAGCTAGAAAGCTGGTCAATACAAAAATGTTTTTTGCATAATGTATTGAGTTTTTCATTCATTATGGGGTGGGGTTTTTTTGTTATTCATTTGAAGACTCAGAGCAACAGTGATCAATAGTAGGAACAATAGGTCTCTTTAAAGTTGCCTTTTCCTGGGTGGGAATAAAAAATGGACCAAATGTGAAAGGTGTCAGTGGATATTTATAATGCACAATGCTTTTGCTCTTACCTCCCTTCTTCCAATTGACTTTGCTTTGGATAAGTGTGATACTCCAGTTTTACAGAACTAATTTTCCTCAGCTGCACATTAATAATAGTCACACACTTTTTATTATTATTATTATTATTATTATTTTTGAAACTATTTTGCATTGCTCTCCTTTATTCTCCTTGGTTCTGCCTCAATCCCTATTTATATCTCCTCTGTGTACTTTTCAGGTCTTTGAGATTTCTAATCTTGCAATTTTTATTTCTGTGCCTACTCTGATCTTTGTGCTGTTAGTTGTGAGGTTTTAGTCTCCCAAGTGTCAAGGACTTGATAGTAGAAAGCAAAGTGAAAAAAACAACAGAAAAACCCATGATGAAAGCAGGGAAGCTATAGAAATGAGAGAAGTGAAATACAAGTCTGTTTTTAATTTAAAGGCAAAATGATTGTAGGGTTTTTTCGTTGTTATGTCTTTGTGAGGAAATAGAAGAAAAATGCACCTTTGAAATTAAAAAAAAGAAGAAAACCCTTGAAAATGGAAGGCCTGAAATAAAATTTATATGTAGACCCCAAAAGAAAAAGCCTAATTTATCAACACATTATTAACTCTCAGGGGTCACATTCATGTCACTGTTACTTTGAAATGGTTTACAGTAATATTGTGGCACTTGGATGCAGTAGTTAGAGTCTTCATAGATGTAATAAAAGAAAACCTTGAAAATTAGGTTTTTTTAATTTATTTGTGGCCTGAAATCCTTGAGAGAGTTATTTCTTACTACCCATGTAGGAAAGCATATGACTTCATATTTTGCACACCATTACAGAATACAGATTCTCATATTCTCATTCTTGAAATTCTATATGAGGAGTTTTTGTAACTTGCTAAGCTTGCAGAACCTAAGCTTTGCTCTCCAGTTATCCATAAGAAATGCAAATTGCAAATGCAGCTTCAGCTTCTATCCAGTAACTGTGCCCTGGTGAAAACAGTACTGCTGTTTTTACCTTCTGTTTTGCTGACGATCGGAACAGGCGCTCCGTTTACTCCTGAAGCAAGGAAATCTCCTGTATCTTGGTTGAAAGATTGTTTCACCCAGCCACGAGTTTGTGCCATTTGTATAGCTGATGGCAATATGGAACAGATGCACCTATTTCTAAACATGGTGATTATTTGGAATGTAGGAGATTGACCGTATATATGAAAACTAGTAATTTATCATTATTACATTTCTGTTTCTAAGCATAATTATCTTAATCTTGTTACAGAGCATTGAAATGAACTGTTAATTATGCTATGTAAAACATCTGCCAATTAATTTTTCCTCATACTCTTTGAAAGTCAATAGTGTTTCAGTAATATTTTGCTTTTACAATTGTCATTCACTGTTTGTTTTCTGAATTCAGAATGAGCAAGTTAACTTTCATGTAAGCATAATGCTAGAAAAATAATAATTATCGTATAAGTAAGTATTTTCTAGGGAGTGTTATCTGTTGGTAAAAAGAGATTCAAAGTTAGGAGTCAGGATTTCATTTCATGATTGATGCACTCAGCAGCATGGGAAAGCTTCAGTTTTCTGTTCTCATTTGTTTTTCTGTCAAATTGCTGTAAGTGAGCAGAATGTTACGAATTTTAGCGAGTGCAGGATTCGTAACTGACATAACAGGAGTGGTTGGTGTGTTGGAACAATATATAAATGTTTAGCAGCCCTGGTAGAAATTGCAAATGGGATTGCTTTTTATTTTCTTCTGAACTTGAACATCTGATACTCCTGCTATTATCTAAATTTCATTTTAATCACCATGTTTTTTTCAGAATTCAAGGATAATGTCATAGCTAAAACTATCAGCATTTTTGGGTTCAATTGCTGTTCTTGTCATAGACTTTTCTGTGTGATTGTGAGTAAATTAGCTAGCTACTCCTTTTAGGCAAGAATTCATCACCTATAGGAATGGGGTGATGCCACCAGTGTCAGAGGCATTTTGTAAGAACTAATGCATAACTATTTTTGTACACTTCTTCTTTGCAACTTTTTGTGTTATGCGTATGAGAGGTATACTAGCAAATGCCTAGAAAGGCATAATTTATATTGATTAATGAATGGAAAATTCTTGGATCTTAATCTTGGGGAAAAAAGCGCTGTCAGTGTTGAGCTTTAGGACGTTGGTGTTCTGAGTGTGTGTGTTTGTTTTTTACTTCTGGTGAAAAGCTCTTTGTATTACTTCAAGATACGTAGTCACTGGGTACGTATCGATAACTGTTTTTTAAAAAGCTGTAAGTTAAGTTCCCACCACTTCATATTTAATACTTACACAGAACTTCAGCTTGTGTAGCAGCTTGGTATCATTCAGCTGATGCAAATCTTCCTTCACACAGAACCTTCTTTGGAGAACAGTTTAGAGCTTCATCAATTTCCATTGCTGCAGTAGGTGATCCAAATGTCTAAAAACTGAGCTAAGATAGTACATTGACTAATATCAGCCTACATCAACAGCAGTGCTGATATCATTAGATAAAGAGTGATTTTATCAAAAGAGAAGTTTGACTGATGATTAAGCTGATGCTGTTATTTCCTCCATGGTGTTTAGGAATACTGCAAATAACTGGTGCTGATTATTTTTATACCTTTTTATCTTCTAATGGTGTGAGGCATAAGGGCAATTACAATATTTTAAAAGCCTTTTTTAGTGCTATTTTGAGTGGTTTCAGATTATATTTTTAATAAAGTTACGACATAAGAAACAGGTCACTGGCCATATGAAAGAAAGAGGTAGTGAATGTGTGATCTACAGGATACCATTGTGTTTATAGTCTTTTACAGTAGGAGGTACTCTAGCATGGAATAGCGTGTTCTGGGGCATTAATGAGTAGAGCTGAGACATTAATTCCTAGTGAATAATTAATACAACAGTTGAGCGACTGTGTTTGTGAATGCTCTTTGAGTAGTCTGAATTTCCTGGAACGTTCAGTGGTAATCCACATAAACTTCTGTGTAATGCTGTGCTTGGGACTGACCCTCAGGCTCATAGTTTTGACTCCATTACCTGCAGGTGATTTTCCTGGGCTACACTGTGGCATGCCCAAGCTGGCTCTGTGCAGCACTATGGGGCAGCTTTAGCTGTTTTCTCAAAGCTT